AATCGATTGGTCTTTTGGTTTGGGTTGAAAATCGTGGGGTTAGTATCCAAAGGCAAGCATTCTTTAGTGAAGAACCGACCGTTGGAATACCATCCTCTTGTCCCGGAATTCTATTGAATCGAATCGACGGCACACATCCCCAACCACCAACAGTATCCACCAGCCTGTGTACTGAAGAACCAACTGAATCAAAGTGTTGGAATACCTTCTCTTGTCCCGGAATTCTATTGAATCGAATCGACGGCACGCATCCCCAACAAACAGTATCCGCCAGCCTATGTACTGAAGAACCAACTGAATCAAAGCTTTGGAATACCATCCTCTTGTTCCGGAATTCTATCAAATCAAATCAACGGCTCGCATCCCCAACCAACAGTATCTTCCAGCCTTAGTACTGAAGAACCAACTGAATCAAAGCGTTGGAATACCTTCCTCTTGTCCCGGAATTCTATCCAATCAAATCAACGGCACATCCCCCCAACAGTATCCACCGGCCTGGCTACCGAAGAACCAACTGAATCAAAGCGTTGGAATACCTTCCTCTTGTCCTAGAATTCTATCGAATCGAATCAACGGCACGCACCCCCAACAGTATCCACCGGCCTGGGTACCGAAGAACCAACTAATTGAATCAAAGCATTGGAATCCCATCCTCTTGTCCTGGAATTCTATCGAATCGAATTAACGGCACGCACCCCCAACAGTATCCACCGGCCTGGGTGCCAAAGAACCAACTAATTGAATCGAAGTGTTGGAATCCCATCCTCTTGTCCCGGAATTCTATCGAATCGAATCGACTACACACATCCCCAACCACCAACCGTATCCACCGGCAAGCGTTTGAATACTGTCCTCTTGTCCCAGAATTCTATCGAATCGAATTGACAATGGATGATAGGAAGCCATCTCCACGTTTGGCAGCCTCCAATCCCCAACATGAGTTGCAACAAGCTTTTCTTCAAGTTGCTGATAGCTTACACACTCATCTGAAGAGTGTTGTTGATGACATGGTGAAGAAATCAATCAAGGATGCTTTGACCCGCCAACAGAAAACCAATGCAACAATGGATAATGAATATTCCATTCCCTTGTTTCAGAAGACCCATTCCCAGGTAGACAGAAACAGCCCAAAAGATCAGTCAACCAACCAAAACCACCTACCGTCTTGGATTACCACCATCTCCCTTGGAAAACTCCAGGTACTGAGGTCACAGACGGCAACAACTTTAAACATCCATGGGAGATGGGAAGCTATGATGATGACCCACTCCTTGATCCATGGAATAGCCCACCATCAAAGCAGGCAAAGGCCAATGTGGAAGATGATCTTGAATTATTCTCATTGGGCCTACACCTTGAACCACATGAACACCTACCACCGACCACCACCTGTTGTGTTGTAGCTCCAAGACAGGGTGATCCCATTTGGATGAAGCACAGCAAGTCCCCTTCACTCTGTTTAGTTATTGAGGCTGAACCTCTTGTTCACATCATTGAATACAATCCTGAGGGACAAGTGTACATCATCAAACAGCTCACCACCCTCAACCATTACTAAAAACGTCTCTCAGACTTTGCCACTATGCCTTTCCTGGACAGTAAATTCAAAGACAAAAATGTGGATGTCCATTTTTACCCCAACAAATCCGACCACCAGAACAACTTTCTATTCATTGTCAACCAGAAGGCTAATGGTTCTAATGCTCAGTTGATGGACCTAATGCAATCAATGGACTTTCCTCGTGTCAAACAGTTGTTGATCAATCCATCAAAGACAAATGACACCAGCACGAAGCGGAATGAAAACAGCACCAACGACACACATCTCAAAGCTATGTTGTCAATGAAATGGGTTTTCAGATTGTTGCBCTCTCCAACGGCAGCACTGAAAAAGAAACTGTCAACCTTTTCAAGTGTGCATCACAAGTTCTCCAGTGGACATCTGTTCAGGAGCAGTTCCGTTGGGGTTGAAAGAAATAAGAAAAAGAGAGAGAAAGAAGAAGCGAAAGAAATGGAAATCCTCAGGTGGTTGGAACTTTATGAAAAAAGGTTGGAATCTGATGAAAATTGGGATGAATATTGCATGACACCCGTGCCCAAGGGAGCTTGGGGTAGGGTTGACTGAAATGGATGACGAAAGGTACACAGAACAGTGACATAGTGTTTAACAAGAAATATGAAAGCCTAATTATGTTACTGAAACTAAAGTAATGTATACCATGGCTGGATGGAAATGTGTGACGTATGAAGATGTTGAAGGAGAGATGAAGGGGCAGTCATGTTACTCTTTGACTGTTACTTTTCGGCAGCCAACCACATCTGGCCATGAGACAAATGGATCATGCATTGGCTGTGTAATACGATCACCTCCAACCCCAAATCGTTTAACACAAAGATCAAACTTAAGCTCCTTTGTCACCAACCGCTTAAGCTCAACAACATCTGGCATCCTAAGCACTGGCGTCTTACCTGAAGACATGAATTTTGGAATGTCTCTTGCTATGTCAGGCAGACTCTTGATCTGACCATGAAATACCTACTTATCAAAAAGTACAGCTTTCTTACAAACACAAGTCATTCCACTSGAAGAAGCAACTTTCAGGTAATGCTGCCGCTTCACAACCTTACCGGTACTGGGATCTTCGATTGTGACAAATTGTTCTTCCAAAACAATTTGTCCATGTCGACGAATGTCAACATACCGATACCCTCCGCTTCCCTCCTCACCACCCCTCCAACGAGTGAACTTGCACAGAAAGTTTTCCACCTTGGCAGTGCTCCAGGTGTCACCACATCCTCGCTTGACAAGATTTCTTCCAATCGAATCCATTGCTGATTGCTGACTCCATTTAGTGGTCCAGATGTTCGGATTAGTTGATGCTTCTTGGGGAAACATCGCTTTCAACTGGTTTGCTAGTCTGCCTTCCACATTGGCATGCAATCTGACCCAAGCAGGCAATAATCCTAAGTAGGACATTATTGCTATTTTGTGTTGAAGTGCCAAGTTTCCAATTTTTGGTAGCTTACTGATTTGGAATAGTCTCATAATGGAATCATACACAGCTGGGATGTGTTTTCGGGGTGGTGAAACAGGATGTGCTTGCCAGGCGTAGAGACAAATTGCTGTCCTCATAGTAGTCAGTGCAAAAATGTCATCACTCTGTGGGATATTCCGGTTGACATTGTTCCTCGCAGAAAAGCGATAGATACCGAGGGTTCTTCCTTGCATCTTACAGTGTTCATCATACTGTGTCTTCTTCTTGGTCATTGCAGAGGCAACGTACTGAATTATTTGAGCCATGTTAGCCATGTTGGATTCGGTTGATGGGGATGTACCAAGAGGTGGAGGTTTGATGTCATCAATAGCCATGGACAGAAATAGGGCGGTGTTGGATTGTCTTTCAAAGCAAACTGAGACAAGACCAACCATGTCAGTAAATGATAAGTTGATGTTGCACTTCATCCATAGGAGTGAGTCAACAAACAGAGCATGATAGCCAGTGGGATCTATGTTGCATGGGAGGGAATAGTACGTTGGCATTCCCGCCCCATCACCGGCTTCCAAAGCGTCAGACGGGTAAGGAATCTCCTTAGCCAATTCGTTGTTGATGAGAGTCAGCACATTCGTATCACCTATTTCAGAGTTGATGCGAATAGGAAGCCTACAAGGAGGCAGTGTTTTGTAGAATGATTCGAAATCATCACACATGCTGGTGAAATATTTGATCCGCTTGATAGAATCTGTGACAGACCTTTTGTTGAAGAAGCCAACATTGTATCGTTGCCCATCAACATCCATGGAGATTCCCATAACATTGGYDATGCTTCCAGAATCAGGAGGTGGGTTGTGGGAATCCTTGTGCTCCATAAGTAAGCCAGTGCTCATKGTCAATGCTTCATGAACTATGGAAGGATATTCATGTTCTCTCTCACTTGTGATTCTTCTGAGATAGTAGTGTCAGAAATTGATAGAAATAAGTGCACATTAGGAGTAAGATTCTGGTATATTCCTGTTATATTTTCTATTTTGATTGGGGAATTTGTTCTTGACACATTTAATATTAGTACTACTACTAGCTAGTAGACTAGGGCGTAAATGGAAAATGGACACATTAAAGGGAAAAAATGATCACGTTTGGTTCATAGTATTAATATTATATCCCCAGTATATTAAAACAAGATATCTGTAAATATGAAATGTGAGGCTCTAGTGGCCTCAAAGTCATGAGAATGAATGTCATTTTTGTTAGCACGCAGAAATTCCCAGTTGTCATAACATTTTATTTTCTTCCGCTGCTTTTATTGCTTATTGATGGGTAGTACTGTGTCTTGACCTTCTACTGTTTCGCTCTCGCTCAATCTGTATGGAGAGGTTCTTCAAATCGCAGATAACATCACCTGCAGAAGTATCTAGCGGACAGTCGCTATCGGTATCATCATTCGGTACGTTTCTGCAATTGTAAAAATAGGTTTCGGATCGATACGACGAACGAGACTGAGCCTGCCTCAAGCTTATTTCTCCCCGTGAGCTTTGTGATGAATACCGACTGCCAAGAAAACCTTTTCTTCTGCTTCGACTGTTGTTCTCGGTATCTACCCCGGATTCTATGTCGCTTTTTTCTTCCGCGATCAAACTCAAGTCTTTCCTAGTTACGATGGCGGAAATATCTGATCCAAATTCGGGGGGATCTACTCTGCCTCCTCGCCAAGTGCCAAGATCAATACTAGGCATGTCAAGACTGAATTTTGAAACGTCGTTGTTAGCTTTCCTAATTGCAAACCTTGACATGTTGTCGCCATTTGTAAACATACTGGAGCAGTGGGACGTCAAAGATTGTATGGGGGAAGGTGGAGGATGGTCCATGTGATCGGAGAGGCTGCCTGCACTCGTGGGCGTAGTTCCAGCCGACGTTGGTGACATTAGGAGATTTCCACCAACATTATCATCCGTTGATGAGGATTGCTTTTTCTTCAGTGGAAGTTTGATTACTTTCATTGGCTCTTCATTGTCGCTATCGGCTTTTTTCTTTGTCTTTTTCGCTGCTATTGGTTTCGTGTATCGACGACGCAGGTAAAAATAGCATGCCAAAATCATCAAAGCGACAATCAAACTGGTCACGCATAATAAGGCAATTATCCACTTTTCATTTAAAACTCTTCTTTCGTTTGCTCTAGATGCTTCAACTCCACTGCTCGAGGAATCGCCACTCGGAGCACCATCTTCGACAGAGGATTCTGCAACCTTGGTTTTATTGATGTCAATTATCAAATACGTTAGATTCTGCAGAAAGTCTTCATCCTCCTTGAGAAGTTGGTCCAGAAATAATTTTTCATTTTGCCCCTTGAAGGCGTTTCGCAGGAGAGTTTCAATAAAAAAACTGGTTGGAACTTCGTCCGAAGTAAATGAGAGTGTCCCTTCGATTTCGAGTGTAGTGATATAACTGCCCTCGACCCCGTGCACACCAAAGCTATTCGCAGAGATGACTGCTTTTTCAAAGTATTCGTCGTCGTCCGGTTCTGTTCTCGCATAGTAGGCTTTAAAGTACTGGTTCAAATAATTCGTTGTGATCGCTTCGACTCTTTCATTAAGCTCTGCTGCATCTGTATCAACTGCCGAGCGCAGTTGCAAAATGATTGCACCCAGGGGAATTTCTACGGCGCCAAATGCTCTCGATACAAGAGCCACGAGCAAGAACACAATGCTCTGAGCACAACAGCATCTTCGGGAGAGGATCATTTGAAGAACTGTAGATCGATGATGATCGAAATGTGACGAACTGGAATATGCAAATAGAAAGATACGTACAGTACTGTACTGCTAGGTTGGTATCGACGATGATGTTTTCTCATGAACCATACGAGTTTGCCGCCACTGGTACGAAGAAGCTGGTTCGTACTCGCACCGAATCGTGCTCTCTCTTCAGAAACTCGTGCCAAGGAGAAAAGTTGCACGAATGCTTGTGCACATGAGTAGTCAAGAAGTTTTTAAATTTTTGATTGCAACGATATTTTGCTAAATATACATAAAGACGTTAATTTATGGTTAAAATATTCACACACCGACTAGATCGACTCACTTTCGATTTCAAATTGAGATAGCGAAAACATAATGCTACCGGTAAATGCTAATCTAGCTACGTACCAGTTACAGTATCTAGAGCTCACGTACGTAGGGTACGATTACTCTTTCAGAACGTACGGTACGTATTCAGGTACGGAAAGATATATTTCAGATTTTTTCCGATTTAATTTTAGAGCTTATTACTTATTACTGTACTGGGTACTGTATTACGATACGGCAGCACCGCAAGGTAAAAACTTCGTCGAATTCGATTCTGTATTGTGGTACTGTACTTCGTGCTACTCCAGTCAACAGATTTGGATCCATAATTTTCTCTCTTGTTCCGATCTTTTGAATGTAAAGTACAGTAGCTGGTTTTGAGTTGAAGGAAGATTGCTTRTGATCCGAGCTTCCATAGGCGTAGTTCSTACTCAGATGAGCACTGAAAATATGGTATCAAYAATGCTCAATGTTTACGCTCTTATCGTATTCAGATTTCAAAATATAGAAGATCAGTATTTCAAAAAAGGTGCTGATCACTGAGTCGTAACATTCGAAGGTTGTCACACAACAATATATCATGAACGGTGGTGAAGCGGCAACAAACTGATAGGAGGAATAACGACTGAACTGCAATTCAATTTTCACCTGTACCTTTCACTACCAAATACATAAGAATTTTTCACATCGTCGTATAAGCCGATAGCGCATTACAATTGCGATTGACTCGAATTTAAACGACGATCGATCTCTAGAAAAGATTACAACTATACGCTCGTCTTCAATTACAAACCAATTCAATTCTAGTTGCTTTGGATATGGGGGAGCAATGTTTATTTTTTCATTCAACTTCTTCTTCGAATTCATACTTCGAGTTGACCAATCTTGAGTCGTCCGACCTTTCAACTAGAAACCATATTTTATGGATTCTTTGAAGATTGTAGTAGTTCGGTCGTGATGCCAATCGTCGAATTCAGCGAGGGAGTGATATTCCTCAACAATCATCCTTCGAAACTCGAACATACCGTTCTAGCACCGCAATCCGCAATCCTAGTCGTACGCACCATACAGATGGGTTCCTATGTATTGTACTACACACCATGAGGCACGAGTCGGAAACACTACGTAGCGGTAAAGATGAAAGATACAAGCTGCAACGGAACGAAACTCTTTTAATTACGAATGAAGAGAGACTAGTCGAAGATTTTCGATTGTCCTTTGTTTATTTTTTTCTTGTAATCTTGTAATGCAGAAGTGGATACTATCCAAGACTGGAAACTCTATTGAATCCCTCACGCCGGACCAGCTTGTGCGATATCATGCTCATTTTTTGGATCGAAAATACCGTTGTAACTAATCTCAAAAGATTTTGTTTTGGTCGCAGTTGCATCTCTACCAAGAAATTAGCAAGAAAAAGGCAGGTGACCGTTGCTCAGATTACAACGACTCCGTTCACTCTTATTCTGCCTGGGGTGACGAAGTACAACGTTTTTTCGATTCCGATCGTACAAGCAACTCTTTTTCGATCAGTGTGATGTTCATTGAAGTCTTCTTCTATCCCGTTMATATACACACTTTTAAATTCTCTTTTCATCAGAAGGAACTACTTACATCACGGTGTACTTGTAGCTCGTTCAACGTTTACGATGAAGAATCACAGCACTCTAGAGAGGATGGCAACTTTGCTACTTTTGGTACCAGGGATTGCCTATGGACAGGGTATGAATACAAACCCTATTTATCATGTCCGATCAGTCGTTGGAAAACGAGATTTGCAGACGCAGCTCAATCCGCTCGATATGTTGCTCTCTTTCTCCGACGATGGCGCAGATAAGGAAGACGAGTTCTACCTAGATCTCTTTGACACACCTGCCCTATTGACAAACTCCGATACCCCGWTASTGATTTCAAATGCGATGAATACTTTTCTCCTTGCCGAACTAAATGGCAGATTTGATGATCTAAACTCTGTTGAAAAGGTTTCTTCCGAGATTTTCAGTTTGAGCGAAAGAAATGGAACCTACGTGAATTCGTCGGGACTAGAAGATACTCGTATAGGAACGGAAACAAGGATGAAAGTGACACTTTCTTTTGAATTGTTGCCATCACCTAAGACTGATGAAGTGATTGATCTTTTGAAAGACATCATGTCCAACCTTACATATTTTGTGACAAACTTGACAAGTTCTGTAAGCGACGACAACGAGCTTAGTGGTGTTTACGAGGCCATTCGTAGAGAAATCCGTRAGCCTGYCTTCGTAACGCCCACTGACCAAACCATTGTCGTCGATATTTCTGGCCAGAACAAAAATGGCAGAATTGGCAATACTACCAAAAAATACGTCTTGTCGGCTGTACCAATAGTCCTTGTGGTAGCAGTTTTGGCCGCAGTTATCGTCTTCTTTGTTTTCAAGAAGAAACGCAAGACTGTCGAATCTGAGTCTGTTAAAGAYTCGGAATTGATGCATATGGATGTTGAGAATGACGTGTATAGTATAGATAGAAGCGTGGGCAGTGCCGAATCRCCCAAATCAGTAATTTCAAAGCTCAGTTCCACRAAACAAGATGAATCAAGTATCCAACACAGCATGTCCAATGGAAGCGGATTGATTCCAGGCATACTAAACACGCCAGGAACCCCGGGTACTCCTGGTACGCCAGGTACGTCGGGGACACCAKGTACATCAGACACACCAGGAACCCCAGGTACTCCTGGCGCACTATGTGGGGATTCCGTATTTTCGGGAATCGACACCACGTTTACAGGAGTTACGTCAAGTGTTTTATCACCTTCGTCAATTTCATCACCGAAGTCTATGATGACTGGTTTCACGTGTGCAAGTGGATCGACAGTCCGTGCGTCCAATATTCCAAAGAAACATAAAAATACTACAAATCCMAAGTCACCTGCTGGTGGTTCAGTCTTCGCATTCTTGGATCCTATCGCGGACAATGATGATGAAGATGATCATGACGATGAACTTGAGCTGATGGAACGAGCCCAACCTGCCATAAAATCCAGTGAAGGTCAAAATAACTCATCACCTGTGAACTCGAAAAATACAACAGATAAAAGTGAGTCATCATCCTCTCTCGAAGGTGTCTCGATATCCCTTCCCGCCAAGCCGAACAAAGAAAACGAGATGGAAGAAGACACAGCTTCGACTGAACCAGTTTCTCATGTACTTGCTGATCTGGAAAACATGGAAGCAACTATGACCTCTACTCCAAGAGACTCAACGCCTTCAAAGGCATTGCACGCGGCAGAAGCAAATAATGCACAAGATCTTACTCCATCGAAGAATGGAGAATCCACTTCGCCTTCAGAGAGCGAAGAAACGAACCTASAARATGGCCAKKTAAAACAGACTCTTCTTGTTGATACAGRAGCATCGAATAAATTGAGTCGGTTTTCATCGACTCAACGCAAAAACAAGAGCACACCGAACTCTCCAGTTCTGGCCCGCACTAMAACAGSCACTCGTAGCGCACCTGGATCTCCGGTTAATCAAGCTGGTAGACCACATTGGTTAAAGGCATTTAGCAAGAAGACATCAAGAATCCCAAGATCACCGAAATTCGAAAACAATGACGATTACGAAATGGATCTTAGTAACCCTTCACCGACAAAAGAGGATTATGGTGAAGGACGGGAATTGCACAACTTGGTAAATAAGAATATGAAAATTGTCGATAGACCCCCACAAGACTCAGAAGATTTCGATCATTCAGGACGTAGGCGCCATGTTGGCGATAATGTTGTGGATGGATCTGCGTTGTACCAAGCAAGTGCAATGCACCCAACAGACTGGTCCTACAAGTCAAGTGATGCCGATTCTGATGGAGCTTCTACAATCGATGAAGAAGGAAGTCAAAACCGGCAAAAACTTCTCTCCAAGGATGGAACTAGTACAAATAAAGCTTTGATGGATGGCAAGAAATCCACATCAGCAAGCCGTCAGCTGATTGATGATTTGGTCTGGCTAGAGAAAAAAATTGCGACTGTTAAGAAAGAATCTGCTATAAGTGGATCTCGAGGCGGAATTGAAACCGACGATTCTCTGTCATTCGACTCGAAAGACAAATATGAAGAAGCAGACACTTCTCACGAGGATTCCGACTCAGATGTGTCGAATATCGTTTGCCGAGACTTAGTCGCACCACCCGGTAAGCTCCACATCGTGATTCATTCGACCAAGGATGGCCCAGAAGTGCACACGGTAAGAGATGAAAGTAGTCTACAAGGTGAAATTTTTCCTGGTGACTTGATCATTGCTGTTGACGACATTGATACAAGGACTTCTACGGCGGAAGAAGTGATGACTATGATGGCATCCAGAGGRGATCGAGAGCGAAAAATCACCATCTTGCGTTTCAAAGAAGACGTCTGAGCAAGAGTTGTTCAACAGAGAAATTCCGGAGGGGGCCWACATTTTTCTATCCCCGCGGATCTCTCTGTAAACTTATATTATACATGTCGTTAAATTTATATCCAAAACTACAGAAAAGTCTATTATCCCCTCTGCAAAAACATTTCCAATGCAAGACCATGAATGCTCCTCCGTGGTTTTGGCTTTTCTGACAAAAATTGTAACGAGTTACGCTACCCACAGACGTTGTTCGTCGATATCTACCGTCAACACACGATCGTCCAAAAAGGCCAGTCCCATAACGATGATGTGGACGTTGGCCTTCCTGCCCTCCCTCCGTTTCGGAAACCTCTTCCAGGTGCGTTCGGGATCGAAGGGCGTCGTCAGCGGCTTGTTGGCGGCCAGCGTGACCTCCCTTCCCCCCTCCGTCTCGAAGGCCAGCTCGACCCTCCCGAAGAGCGTCTTGGATCGCTGCCTCCGGGCCTGGAGATACCGCTCGTCGAAGAGGCCCCGGCTGACGACCATGCCCGTGACGCCCGTGTCGAAAATGACGAAAATCTTCGTCCCMTTCCCCGAGGCCGTTTCGGCGAGGGGGACCCCGTCGACGACCACCGATTTGGCCCTCGCGGTGTAGTGRCCGACGGGATCCCCGTACCTGCGCCTCAGGAGGTCGGTYGTGGGGATGCGGTCGGGGGCGGCTCCGAGGAGGGCGGTTCGGGAGAGGGTGAGGGTCCGGGGGCGGCTCGCCAGGTCGATCCGAAAGGCCGAGGCGTCGGTCTGCCCCAAAAAGGAGGGCCGGATCCGGGCGTCGGTGTCGCGGATCATTCCGAAAAAGACCCCGCCGGGCCCCCCCATGATGGACTCGGAGGCGACCCCGAAGACGACCTCGCCGGAAGGGCTTGGCTCGGGAGGAGGCGGCGAAGAAGGATCGGGGTTCGGCGGAAGAAGCGGCACCGGGGAGGCGGTGGCGTTGGCGCCTGCCCCGGCAATGTCCAGAAATCCAAAGGGGGCGGACCGCCACTCGACCTCCCCCTCGAAGCCGTCAAAGATCTCGATGGTGGGCTCGAGCGAGGGGACGGGCCTGCCCTGGTTTCGGTAGCAGCCCGACTTGCGGCGGGTGTTGGCCCCGCAGGASCCGGGGATCATCAGGAAGGGGCTCCCCGTGTCGAGGACCGCCTTGAAGGGGCTCCCGTCGACCGAGTAGGCCACCAGCAGCTCCCGGCCCGTAGAGGCCAGCGGCACCGTCAGGAGGGAGGGGGGCCCGCCGCCTGGTCCCGGGCTGGTGTACCCTAGGACGGGGGGGGCTTCCCCGGGAGCCACGGGCCACGCCGAGAGGCCCGGCGATGCCACCACCGCGGCAGCGGTCGCGTCCCGGAGGAATCCCCGCCTCGTGGGCGGGAGGCGTCGCTCCCGAAGGGGAAGCCCCTGGTCCCGGGCGGCCTCGCTGTTGGATTGGTCGTTCCTTTCGTGGTTGTGCTTGTGGTTGCTTTGGTCGTCGTGGTGGTCTTCGCCGCCGCCCCGGCCCCCGGCGGAAGCCCGCGTGGTGCGGGCCGCGAACGCGTGGACCCCTTCGCTGACGGAAGGGCCGACCAGGAGGGCCGCAACGGCGGCGCAGAACCGGGGGATCTTCCCAATGGAACCACGCCGCGCGGCCGGTGCGGGCCCGGAATCCGTGGACCGATTCCCCCGCATCCCGGGGGTCGGCGGGGAAGAGAGGGAGAGGAAGGGAGGGAGTGTGGTATGTGTGTTTGTGTGTGTGTGTGTGTGTGTGTTTGTGTGTTTGTGTCAAAGGGATATGGCGTGATCGCCCGGGCGACGCGCAATGCCGGTTTGGTCGGCGGCTCGATTCTCTGCGCTGACTTGTTGGGTTGCTTCGGGGGTGGGTTCACCGAACGAAGGCGTCCGAACGAAGGCGTCGTTGTGGTGGTCTCTGTTTGTCGGAAGGCTTCCTGCAGGTTCCGTACCGTGCGGACAATCTTACTGAGGAAGCCAAACAAGGCAGGACGATGCCGATTCCCAAAAAATCTTTCTTTTCATTTTTTCGTGCTTCCGTTAGTGTAGGTACGTAGGAGTACTAAGTACTGTACCGTACCGTACTCGTACCATATTCGTTTTCGGAAGAATGCTCCCAGAATGAAACTGGAACGACGAGTATGAGTAGGTACTTGGTACGTATGTCCCTGATACGTACGAAGAACATCCAAAAGTACTCTACGAGATCGTTGTAGCTTTCGTGTAAGTACGTACGAGTACGAATAACCAGGCAGGCCCATCCCAGGGACATGCAATGTCCCCTCCCCTACCGTAAGCTAACGTACCGTACCGTAGGACCGAAAGACTCCAGTAAGTAAAGTACTATGGTGCGGTCTAACGTACGTACCGGTACTTCCGCATAGTACGTACAGACCGTACGGTACGTGACGTGACGTACCGTACGTCCGTTCCGAAGACATGCACGACTGGAACATCTCACCGGCGACACGTGACTCAGCAGTCCGACGCATTCGTTACAACATCCCTCGTTTTGATGAAACTAACGTGCTCGTACCGGTACGAGTTGTGTACGAGTACGAGGAATTGGAATTGGAATTGGAATCCTGTTTGGGACAACGAGCGCTTCTCCCCGTGCGCCGACCAAGAGAGCCACCGGACCCTCGACGACCAAACGCAGCGCCGTACCGCACCGCACCGCACCTCATTCCTGCCAACGCACCCGCACCGACCCGGGTCTCTCGTTCTCTCTTGCCGACGCGCAACACCACGGAGCACGCACCAGGGCTTGGCCCGGAAGGCAGAACAAGAACAAGAACAAGAACAAGAACAACCACCGCCATGCCGCCGGCACCGACCACCGCCAAACGGGTGCTGCTCGTCCTGCAGCTGCTGGGGGCCCCGGGGGGAATCGCCCCGTTTCCCCTGTCTCCGCCTCTGCTTCCGCAATCGACAAGGACATCGACCAAGACCACGACCAAGACCACGCCATCGAAATTGCGATCGCGATTGCGGGTAAGCACTCTCGGAGAACAAACGCGCGATCCCTTTTCCGGGGAGGAGGGGGAGCCGCGCCCGGTTCCGTTCCAAGATGCCCAACCCGCTCCCGGCTCTCCCCAAGGCCTCCCCCGGCGGGGAATCCTCGCGGTGGCGGTGGCGTCGGTCGCTGCGGCGGTCCCCCCGCCCCCGGTGGAAGCCAAAGCCGAAGCCGAACCTTCGGGCCCTTTCCTTGCGGCCCCCCTCGAGTTCGTCCCGGCCCTCGGGGCGTACGTGGTCCGGTACACCCTCTTCGGGGAGGCCTTTGCGGCCGTGGTCGACACCGGGAGCCCCTTCTTGACGGTCCCGTCCTACTGCCGGCCCTACCGCAACCAAAAGATGCGCTGGGGCTGCTACCGTCCCGAGCGGACCCTGGACAGCGGCTACGCGAACACCGTCGAGGGCTTTGACAACAACTACGGTGCGTTGCGCTGCGGTGTGTGGTGTGGTGTGTGGTGTGGTGCTTTGTTTTGTTGCGCTGTGCTGTGCTGTGTGGTATTGTGCTGGTTTGCATTCCCCCCGCCGTGCAATGTCGTCTCGCTGCCGCTGTCGCGCATGCCCGCCGCCTCCTCACCTTCTTGGTTTCTGCTGCCTCGCCGTTTGTCCGTTTCGTCTCGATCGCAAGGAGTGGTGGTGTGGAGAAAGGCCGACTTTTCGTTTCCCGGCCGCGTCTCGCCCGGGGAAGGGCCGCTGGGGGGCACGGGGGGAGCTACGGACCCTTTCCCGGTGGTCTTTGGCGTCCTAGGCGAGGATCTGCTGAACGGATCCGGGGGGGTCTTTTTCGGGCTGATCAAGGAGACCGATCGGTGGATACGCCCCTCCTTTCTCGGCCAGGCGGGGTACGCGAGCTTCTGCGTAGATCTGAGGCGGGGTGCCGCGGATTCCACGGGCCCGGAACTGGTGCTGTCCGAGCGGTCCATGATCGGAACCACCACCCGGCAGATTTCCGGAACGAGCAACAACAGCGGCAACATCAGCAGCAACAGCAGCGGCAAGCACAACAGCTACGAGTACGGCGGCATTGCCGATTTCGTTCCCCTGGTCAGGGACCTCAAGACGCGGTACGGAGCCCCCGTGGTGCACTACACGGCCCGGGCCTCGCGGTTCGTGGTCAACGGCCTCCCGCTCCTCATCGACCAGCGGAGAAAGCCCCTCTTTGTCATCTTCGACACCGGAGTCAGCGGGATGGTGGTCTCCCGGGACCTGTTCGATGGCAGGTACCTCCAGGCCCGAAAGAACCGCGAAAAGTCGCTGTGGGGGAGCGTCGAGGTGGCCTTTCGGACCAGCGCGGGGGGGGAGGTCGTCCTGTCGGCGGAGAAGCCGATCACGACACCCCTGGGAAAGGCCGCTCCCTGGAAGGGCTTTCGGGGAAATCTGGTGGTGGTGGGCCTGGCCTTCCTGGACGGCCTGGCCACGACCGTGGATGCCGACGACGGAAAAATACGCTTCGACGAATGAAGCAGGGAGCCCGACTCGAACGGAATACCGAGCCGAACCGCGCCGCGCCGTGATGCGGATGGCAGCGTGGGTCATGGGGCGGTACGGCTTGCCACACAGGAGCGATGGATTCTCTCCCCGTTCCGTTCATGCATTTTCCTTGCAGTGCGAGGGAAAGGGCTGCTACGGAACGCAAGGCGGCGCCGACCGACCTCGCTTGTGCCAAAACGTTCTCGCAGAATATCCGGCACACCAAAAGTCGAAACACGACGAAGATACGCAGCCTCGATTGGACGAAATACTTCCCTTTATGCCACGCGCACATCCCGTCGCTTCTCGGCAGCGGCCCCGGCCGTTTTCCGGAACACTAGTCACGCCCGGTACCGGCAATGTTCTGGCACAGGTCTACTCCATCCACCCCATTTTCTTACAACACGCAAGCCAACACGATTGGACACGCACCTGCGGGAGAACGACAAAGAAGAATTGTTTACCGGGGTGGGTGGGCGGAAAAGCGCTGATAGAAAGGATTTGAAAATCAGAGGAAGCTGGATATAGAAGACGCCGAATGCTGATGCTAATATGAATTGCCGATATAGACGATGTACGTTGTCCTGATCCTACTACTTCCAACGAAGATAATAC